GTGTGACAACATACAACGATTTCATGGTCACTATTCAAGTGAAGATTTTGGAATTTATTGTGTTGTGTTATTATTATCAGTAGTCAAACAATAAGGACACTAGCAATCGAATTGAGTGTATAGACAGTAAGAAGTGATAAATCGAAAATGAATCCAGAATACCTAAACTAAGTGATAACTCAAAAATAACTCTTGAACTTCAAGAGAAACAAAGAAAGGCAATGAACGACCCTTTTGTGGAAAGGATCGCACGAACCCGGACCGACAAAGGGAAGAAAGTTTCAGGCGGAATGGTTGAAACCAGGATTCAAAAGTGCTCAGAAAGATAAAAGGCAATGTTAAAAGTAGAGGTCCAGCCGGACCCTGCCATAGATGAGACTCGGGCGGGACATGGATCGGAAGGGAGTGGAAACCAAGTAGTGGCGAGTGAAGCTTCTCCGGTAGAACAAGGCCAAGATTTTGCCACTTCCACCGGGACACTAGACCGAGAAGAGATGTCGGAACTGTCCGACATCTCTACTGACAACGTGGTGACTAAAAGATCACCCCTTGACAACATTATGATGCATGGGGTGACGGAGAAACCCGCAACGTCCTCGTCGTTTTCAGAAAGAGTGAAGAACACTTTGGGAAACTTCCTTTACGATGGTAACGGGTACAGGCGATGAAGCAGAAATCCAGGAAGAGGAGGAAGACAATGACGAACAAGATGACTTCGAATCTCAAATAAGCCTCAATAGTTCGACCCAGGTTAATGATGAATACACCAATAGAGAGACTGGCTCTACGGAGCGATTTGGTGTGGTCAGGACAGTAAGCAAGACCACAAATGGATCAAGCCAGTGAGGAGATTTTCGACCTGGGAAGAACAGAAATACAGGGCCATATAACCTACCAGAGGATCCAGAAGCAGATTATGAAGAGACGTCGAGGTAGAGAAGTAAGACTCGAGTCTCGACCAGCACCAAGCTGCCTGGAACCGATAGGGTGAAGCCACCACTTGTGACGCCACTAGTGGACAACGGCGCACCAATCGAAGAAGCTTTGACCAACATAGTGGACAGCATAGGAGAACAGAATGAACAGATGTCCTTAAGAATGAGTGAACTAGAGAGGGCAGTCCACGTTGAGAGAGAAAGCCCGCGGGAAGAGATCAACCGCAACAGGCAAGAAGTTAGCAGAAGCAAAAAAACGCTTCAAGGAGAGGACGGATGAACACTTGGCCGAGAATTTGTCGCGAATGACGAGGGAAGCTGAGCAAAAAGAATTACGATGGAGAGATGACATGAAGTAGTTGAGAATTCAGCAAGAGCAGACACTTGGGACTCTTGACACGAAGATAGACGCGATGATGGAGAGGCGAACTCAGCCTATCATGGATAGGTTGGATGGGCTTCTAGTAAACAGGAGTGGATCGAAGATTGGGGCAACAAACTCAGGAGAACCCAGCAGGGAGCCGAGAGTGAACTTCAATGAACAACTCAATAGAAGAAGGACATATGGATCCACTAGAGGAAGGGACAGTTCATCCAGCTATGCCACAGATGACAATTGGCCACGGGCTCAAACACCAGAGGACGTTCAACTGGCAACAGACCGACCTCAAACGAACAAACGACGCAAGACACACGTGCGACTGGGAGACGTGATTCCGTGAACTGGGGTCATACGTATCAAGGAAGAAGTTATCCAAGCGAATCGAACGGCAGGAAAAACCCAGAGCCTATATCAGGGGGCAATGATGCACAAGCGGGGCATTCTTGGGACGCAACATCAATGGCCACAGCCTTTGAACCTCTAAACATGTCTTTGGAAACATTCCTTACGAGTTTATCTAGAACCAGTGAACGCAGTTAAAAGTCCAGAAGGGTTTTTAAGAAACCAAGATGCTATAAAGACAAATCTGATGGCTGTATTGATACCTGGATAGGAGAGGAGGACTTGACAGAAAGACAAGAATGCAGTGCGCTTACCAGTAACCTGGAAGGGACAGCCCTAAACTGCGTGATGGCCAAAAAGCAATACCAATGGGACACTGCTGAGAAAATCTTTGAAATCTTGTTAAGTCTTGTGTTGGCTCAGTGGTACAAGGACACCAAACAATGATGCGCTTCCAGAAACGGAAGCATCGTAAATACGAGACAATAAACAAGTTTCAAGACAATTTGGAGATGCTTAGAAGGCCTAGCCAACCAGATGAGTCAAACAGAAGGATGAACCTAGCAGTAGCATCAAAATTCATCGCCGGTGTGAAGAATTACGAGCTTCGAAGGATGTTAGCGACACATTACACACCACTTTCAACCAATGCGCAAACATCAGAGGAGTTGAGACTCAAGTCGAATGAATATTTTTAACTAAAGCCTCCTTCGAGATCTGGATATTATAAGAACAATTATGGCAATTTTAACAACGGACCAGCAAACCAAGGGCACAACTGGTACAAACCGAGGGATGATATGGACAAGAGACGCTCTTGTACCAATTGCAAATCAACGGACCATCATGTGTCAGCATGCCCACCTTACAAACAGGGCATGAAAGCAATAGGCTTTATCCTCGAAGACGAAGATGCGTCAGAGGTCGGTCATAAAGATTTCATGAGGGGAGTAATTGCGAAGTTCGGTCCAAGGTGTTTCTTTTGTAACTTGGAGGGTCACTTTAAAACGGATTGTCCACAATTTTGGGATGTTGTGGCAGACATCAAGCATCCAAGGCATTAGGAAGCTTCATCGGGTGTGAAAGCCAGCAAGGCGTGCCTGTTGAGTGAAGCGGAGGCACGCAGAAAGGAGAAACTGTAAAAGCTGGCAACAAAGAACATGCAGGCACAGGCAATAACGGAAGTGATACGTGAACCGGGGACCGGTGACTGCGGCAGACAATTTCAAAATCGACTATAAGGCAACAGCAAGAGGTGCCTTATACAGAGTCCATCAGGAATTGGTGACGAAGGAGATCGAACAAAAGGTGAAGCTCGAAATAGAGAATTAGAAAACTCAGGAAAAACTAAACGCCTTTGAGACATCGCAGGTTGAGGAAACGAAAGCATCAAGCAAATCGAGCATGAAACTAAACGTGATCTCCGGTCATACGTTCGGCATGGTGCCGCAAGGAAGCTGAATACAATCAATAATTTCAGTTGCGGTACATCAGATGATCAGGAATCTAAGTGAACCCTCAGAGTTCACTATGATTTATTTAGATACAAAAGCAGATTATCTGAGACAGGAAGAGCCTCACACTGAGTCAACCGCGGTGCGAGCGTTGTTGACAACGGTTGGCCCTCGAATAAAAAACTCCACGGGCGCTACGAAACTCCACGGGCGCCAGGTGATTTTGAACGTGGACGGGATCAGTATCTATACTGGGACCTACGTCAAAACAGATAGTGACAAAAGAGGGCGGATCTATTTGGGTCAGGAAGAACTTAAAGTACGTAGAATCGGCCATGATGCTATGATGGAGCAAAATGCGGTACATTTGGGTACGAGGCAGATGTGACTGCACATCTGCTAGACACATACGGGATGAAAATCGGAGTGACACGACTTCTGGATACAGGAGCAGTGGTAAGCGTGATGCCAATAAAGACATGGGAAAGCATGGACTTCACGAGGGAAGATTTAATTCTGACGAACCTCAGATTAGCGGCCACCAACCGCAGAGCAATCTACGTAGACGGAAGAACACCAATAACGTCCTTCACATGGTAGGACGGGATCTTTGGTTGAGCTTCCTGGTGGTAGAGAACTTAAGCGACTCAGACCAATTCATCGTGGGCCGTGATTTCGTCAGAAATTTCGATGTGATGATTGACTTGAACAACGGCCTAATAATGATTAGAAACCCGGACCGGAAGTATGTTAAGAGACCAATTGATAGAATAATAACTGATGAAAACAAGGTGCCATTTTTTTTAGATAGAAAAAAAATTCAGCCGGGACAAGTTATAGTAGCAATTTTTAGGATGCGAAATTTAAAGTCGTTAAAGGATAGTAAACAGGTTCGTCTGGTACCCAACCCAAATAGTCTCGGTGATTTTAGGCCGGAGCTTTTCAGTAACACGAAACGGACTGTGTGCAGTGTGTTATTGAACACAATGGACACCACGGTTTCGATCCAGCGTGGAAAGGAACTTGGTGACGCTTTGCCGATGAAGGCCGACTATGAGGACACACAAAATTTATATCGTAAAAGATATATCGTGAAAGACTGCCCGAATCATGCCGAATCATTTTGAGGAAAATTAATGAAATTATATCCAATAATAAACAGTTTTAAATGAAATCCTAGACGTATGACGGCTTGTCGAGCTGCTCGAATTTTCCGGAACGCCTCTCGTCATACGAATAAGAATCCAAGAATCCGACAAACTGGTTTTGCCGGAGATAGAACACTTGAGAGGGAAACTTGTTGAGGGAGATTTTGAAGTATTGAGGACGGTTTTAAATCGAAACGCGGAGGTATTTTCAAAATATAAGGCGGATATCGGTAGTTGCAACTTTGTCAAATACGAAATAGAAAAAGAGGAAGGCGGCATTCCTCATAGGGAAGACCTAAGACGAATGAGGCCTCATAAATCGGAAGTATGCCGAGCGGAAATAGAAATATTACTCGAATATGACATGATAGAACCCTCGAAATTGCCTTGGGCTTGTGGGGTTGTCAATGCCAAAAAGAAAGGGGGTCAGCTTAGATTTTGTTGCGACTTTCGTTACCTGAACGCAGTGACAATAAAAGATGCGTACGCGATACCGCGAATAGACGAGAGCCTCTCGAAACTTGGCGACGCCAAGTTCTTCACCTCACTGGACTTGGGTTCTGCCTTATGGCAGGTCACTCTGCGGAAGAAGGACAGAGAAAAGACCGGATTCGTATGTGAATTGGGGTTGTACCAGTGGAAGAGGATGTCCTTAGATTAATGCAACGCAACGGCGACCTTTCAAAGACTAACGGCTCAGGCTTTGACCAAAGTAACGAAGAAGTATGGGAATCTTGTGATGTGTTACGTGGATGACGTCATAGCGACACCAACCTTGGCAGACCACATTTATCGATTCGATGAGGTCTTTGATTGCATGAAATGCAAACCATCGAAATGTGAAATCCTTAGAGAATCAATCGAGTACCTGGGAAGAATTGTGGACAGACATGTCAAAAGGACGGACCCGGAAGCAGTCGAGACCGTGTTAACATGGAAGGCCCCCAGAACGGACACACAACTCATGAGCTTCCTGGGGTTTGCCAACTACTACCGTGATTTCATAAAAGGATACGCAGACAAGGTGTACCCCGTGCAGAAACTGATGCGCAACAAAGGAAAGAAGTTCAAATGGAGCAAAGAAGCTCAAGCTGCCTTCGAGAACATAAAGAGGGAACTGTGCGAGGCGCCAGTGCTAGGTATGCCTACAGAGAAGGGCATGTACGTTCTTGACACTGATGCATCAGTAGTAGCCATCTCACGAATACTGCATCAGGAGCAAGAGTGGAATGGGAGAACAGTTCTCCGTCCCATTGCATATGGCAGTAAAGTGTTTGAGTGACACTGAAATGAAATATGGTGCACCAAAAGCAGAAATGATTGCAGTGGTCACATTCGTGAAGAAGTACCGCGCATACTTAGGGAGCGCTCCCTTTAAGCTACGGACAATAGAGCGTTATCCTGGTTGAAGACGTACTCGATGGATAAGAGCTAATTTGGTCGGTGGATAGTCAGGTTAGACGGCTACCACATGATAATCAAGCACAGCATGCGTGAAAAACACCAAAATGCTGATAGCCTCAGCAAGAAGAGTGAGTTTTATGAAAGACTGGAACAGAAGCAAGCCAATCAGGCAGAAATCAAGGAAGAGTTCTCGTTTCTGAACAACGAAACTTATGAAGCGCTACCCTTGACGAGATGGTTGGACAAATGTGGACATCCAATTCCGGGACAGCCCGAGTTACCAGTGGAAAAAGTAGCAGAAATAAAAATCTTATCAGAAAATGACCCGGTGCCTTTGGATTTGTTGCTACGTTCGAACCTGGTCCAACAGGAACTCTCTCGTATGAGTATAAACAGCCGCCTCTCATTGATGGATAAAATGGTGCAGGTCACACCACAAGTGACGCGGATGCTGGTTGGACTATTGGAGAGTGAAGTTACTAGAGATGACCCCGAGTGGGCAGCAGCCATGGCATCGCTAACAGTCAGTGAGAAAGTAAAGATTAAGCCACCAAGACGTCAACACAAAGAAAATGAAAGGGATTGTAGGACGATAGTTCAGCAACTAGTATCCTCGATGCCCCAAAACGTCTCGACGAGTACATCATACAAACGAAAAGAACGGGTGAAGGGGACACAAAGGAAAACCGTTACCTTTGAGAATCAGGATCAGAAAGGTGAAGAAGCTGAACAAAACCTGTGGCAAGAAAGTTTGTCCAGGGAGAAGGACGTTGAAGAGAACAGGCGAGTTGATCAACAAGACCCGGGACAAAAAATTTTGTCCGGGGAATCAGGTGTAGAGGGAAAAGTTCAAGGGGAGGATAAAAGTTTGTTAAGATGGATGAGCAGTGCGCATAAAACTGATCCCGAAAAAGAAACGTGTTCCGTCGCAGACTCTTCCATTGATGACAACTCGAGGAATTCAGGAATTTACACCTACTCAGACAGAAACTCGAGCATCGTGGCTTCTAAGAGGAGAAAAGAAGACAAAGTTCTGTACAAATATAACGCGATAGTGTTGCCGCAATTCTATTCGACAAAACTTTTATTCGCATGATCAGATGGGCCAACAGGGAATTCACAAAATATACCGAAGGATTCTGAAGCGCTTTGAGTGGCCTGGAATGAAGAAGGCATGTAAGAAGTGAGTAACAGCATGTCTGTCATGTCATCAGGTCAAGGATCCACCGAAATTGCGATTTCCTTTGCAGTCGTTCGAGTCAACTGAAGTCAACGAGGTGGTGCAGATTGACCACCAGAAAAAATGTATGACAGACAGTGGCTACAATCAGGTCCTGGTTATGATAGATCACTTCACGAAATATGCAGCCCGTGCCCTGCATAACTGCCTCAGCAGAAGAGACATGCGATCATCTAATCAATAAGTGGATAGCGAGACATGGTTAACCGAAGACGTTTCAATCGGACAATGGAACAGCTTTCGTAGGAGAACTTACCAAAGAGCTAATGAGACGCTCTCAGGTGGCCCAAGCTCATTCCACGACATACCATCCCCAGACAAATGACTTAGTGGAGAGGCAAAATCGGACGCTGGTATCGATCCTGAGAGTATATTGTTCCAGGTACATAACCGATTGGGACAGGTACCTTCCACAGGTGATGGGAGCTTACAACAGCAAGCAACACACACCACCACCGGAGTTAGTCCACACATGATGTTAACCGGACACGAGAAGTCTTAGCCCTTGACTTTATTTTACCCAGAGTATGAGGGAAAGAAAACATCGCCACAGGTCTACGTAAGGGATGTGATTAGACGTCAACAAGAACTAAACGACTTGTGCAGACGGAACACTGAGCAGGCACAGGCAAGATAGAGGAAAAGGTTCGATAAAAAAGCAGCTGGTGCAAAAGCTTACTCGGTAGGAGACTACGTATGGGTATTTCAAAACGTAACACCGCCGAAAAGATGGAAAAAGCTGACAAAGAAGTGGAGCGGACCGTTCATGATTACAAAAGTGCACCAGGAGGGACGTTTTAACAGACTGAGTATCGGCCGAGCCGCTCACTTCGAAAATATTAAGCCACACTCCCATCTAGAGAAGACTGGTGTATACCTGCAGACATGGAGAAAGGGGATTATCTGATGATGGACCCTGCCTGCGAGGTCAATGAGAAGGGCACCAGGGGAAAGAATGATGGGAATGAAGTCATAGAGGAAGGATCAAGTCCACCACTGGACCTGGATCCCAATGAGGTGATTGAAGCAAATGAAGAAACCTTACCCTACGCAGAAGCGGACTGGCAAGACCCCGAACAGATGGAGGTACCCAAGAATTTGGAACCAGACCTTCCTTTTACGATAAAGACACGACAGAGTGACAGAACAAGACTCACAAAGAAGTACAGCCCTTACGGAGACGACTTCGTAGTGGACAGAATAGATCTGAAAAAGATAGTGAAAGAATATGTGGGTCCAGATGAAATAACCGTGTCACAAGACTTAGACATAATTGACGACCGCAACGAGGAGTGGATCGATGACCGGTCTAAACCCGAGGTAGAATTCGATGACGAGCAACATCAACCGTACGATCATGACTTGAAGAATCTGCGTGTCTTGGAATGGCTGAACGAAAAGATGTCGGATCCAAAGGAGACCAATGTCACAATTCAAGATGTAGACCGTGAGAGCATGAAATACATAAAAACCGAAAGGGATGATCATCTTGGGCTGCCCAGGAAGAACAATTACTCATTCCTGCATCCAACCTCAATTTAATCTCCGATATGCGATCGACGGGGACTTCGATGGATATTTTTGTTAGGGGAGTGGGGGCAGGACTTACCCACACTAAAAACTATTAACAAAAAAACTAAGAATAGCAAGAGAGACAGGTGACCTAGAAGCAGGAACAAATGAAGGCCCTAAAGAATTAGACATAGGGAGAGTAGTTGAGTCATATTTTAACCTACCAAATGAGTACTCAAGTAGCATAATATTGACAGATAGCGATTTTGTACTTACAAATAGAAAATGTGCGATAACGATCACAGCGCACAAAAGTTTTAGGACAGCGTTAGCAGCAGATTTTAAGAGAGAATATAAATACCTAGAATTCATTTGGAAGCAAAGACCAGGAATAGGAGGCGTAGTAGCCTTGCCTCCGGCGGCTTCGTAGATACCAGGAAAGTGTTTATGCTTCTTGGTGATGAGGGCGACGGAGAAGCGGCATGTGGACCCGGAAAACTTGGTCTTGTCCTTGACGAGACTAAGAGACTTCCTTGTGGAAAGTAAGGTAAAGGAACTTTCACTACCAGTATACGACCCGAACCGAGGAAGACTGCATACACGGGAGCTATATGCTCTGATACACGTAATTTTTTCTGATACTAACATACAAGTATACTTACATAAGATATTTTATTTGAGTATGGGCTGAGTTTAGGTTGCATGCCGAAGGCTTCATACTAAATGTGTGTCGTGTGTGATATGTCTGTTATGTTATGTTACGTGTTATGTTATTAAGACTCTGGGTATGAAGGAGTTAGTGACCAAGAATAACCGAATGACGATCTATGGAATATATCCAAAATTGGTTTGTCCATTTTTAGGTCAAGTTCCAAGATTTTTAGCAATAGGTTGATTTCAATATATTTTAAGATCAAAATATTTTTATCTGACTGTTTTAAATCAATTTTAATGCAAAATTAGAAGTAATGTTGACAAATAGGATACTCATGACCTCTTTTCTAGATCCTGATTGGTCATTTAACTATTCATCAGATTTCAATTGAGCAAACTGACAATCAGGAACGAATCTAACGAAATGGAACACTTTGATTTGAATGAACTGATGAACCTGGGGGAGGCGTATGTAGGAACGATGATAGACGCAATCTATCGTCGGCTGATGGATCGAGACTTCGCTCTGGAGGATCTAGATGTAGTCTTGTTGCTGTTCGCCTTAATAAACATCTTAGGGCATGATAACCGTGGGGACCGCCCCACGGAAATCTTATTGATGGCCGCATTTGGAGAACGAGGAGTACTAGACCACCCAAACATGAGGGTAATGAGGTGGAGAAACGCGGCTCTCCGGAAGTGACTTGGCGAACAAGCCTGGGTGGTGAATTCTAGGACCTACTAACCAGGCGAGATGCCTCTGCCGACCAAGCCTAGGCCTGGACTGGGAAGAATGCAACAAGATATGGACACAGAGGCTGCCTCGTCTAGTTCACAGCTGAGAGCAGCTGTGCCACCAAAGAGGGCGAGAGTAGAAGATGAAGTTCAGACAAATGGAACGATGCAAGAACTGGAGAAGACAAGAAGAGAGCTAGATCAAGTGACTAAGACTATGCTCAGTGTGAAGGAAGACAGAAAAAAGTGGGAAAGACTGTTTGAAGGTTGTAAAAAGAAGCAGAGTGAAGAAATAGAACGCTTGAGGTAAGAATACAAAAAGCGATCGGAACGGCTGCCGTTGACGACAGCAGCAGAAAAAGCGATACCTGCAAGGAATGTTCCTCGTGGGCAGTCCCCGATGAAGCTCCTTACGCCTCGCGAACTAAGTCAAACGACGGAGGTACGACCCCCGACGACTACAGCCGGAATAGTGACGCTCTCGGACCCAAGTGACACCCTAGGTGACCCAGTCGTGGAACAGACAGTGCGGAAGTTGATAGAAACAGCTGGACGACTTGTCGCTAAAAGGATTGCGCCATATTTCCGGGTGACTGCACCCTATGGAAGAATCGACGACACGGGCAGAGTGGAGCTCTCCCAAGAAACGATGAAAAAAAATGTGAGCTGACAATGCCACGTTAACAGCAAAGACCTCTGAAGTCCCGAACAATAAAATAAGAGAGATGCCGATTGAA